ACTTGTCGTTGAGATATAAAGAGCACGTTCTACAGCCGGCTCAAGGTTTTGCTTGTAAAAATTATTTTAAAAAGGAAGAATATAAGATAAAGCAGCTTCCAATAAACATTAAGGTTCAAAAAAACCATCTAGGAACAACAAGCACTATTTTATCGTCTACACAACCACTCCGCACCATGATTTAAACAACTGCTGTCTTTAACCCAAAAAACCTGAATCTACACGACTTACCCCTATAAATGCCGTTTTAAAAAGACAATCTTTAATAACCAAGAATCTTGTAAAGAGTATTATGTACTATGGTAAAAACAACATGTCTATTATGATAAAACCCTTTAGAAGAAGAGAAAGCTCGGTAGCGCATTAGATAGCTAAAGTACTGGTCTCATCTCTGTGTAAAAAAATTACTCCAGAAATAATTCATAAGAATTTTAAGACCGACAGCACCTGCTACAAAAACTTTTCCACCAGAACAATGAAAAGAATGCTATTTGTCTTCTAATGTGACTAAAATTATTGAAGTCACCTCAATTTAATGTCATCAATAACGCAGTCCTGTATATAAGAAAGCAGAAATGCGAATTGATGAACAACACCAAATTCTTACGCAGGAAAAAAATAACAATTTGGAACCCTGTCTATGTATATATTATATATAATTTACAATAAAAAAATATTACGTTTCCAAAATCAAAGAGATTACGAACAGAATCAATTATTTAAAATGTTTAAGATTACTTAGCAATGACATCAACGACAGCCAAAAACAAATGTTGCCCCAGCAACGTCACAAGACTGAGTCAGTCACATAATGTATGATACGAAGAATACAATGCAAGATACACGAAGTCAGGAAGAATCTTGAACCTACTTCATCATTTTAAACTTACATATAGTCCATTCTCAAGATCATACTTATTATTCTTCTTTTTTGTAGCTATTTTGGATATATTAAGTAACAGAAAAATGATGATTTTTTGCTTCTAAAACTCAACAGACTTATATTTTTATTTACTGCATTGTGCAAACAGTTCGAGATTTCCCCAAAAACCACATTCAAAATCACCCACAATAAGCAGATTTCCACTAATTTTTTGAACATCCAGGAGAAGCACAAAAAAATAACCCACACATTCAACAGGATTCCTTAATCTAGAAATTTTTTTTAGTAAGATCAAATAAGTTGGCAGAGCAACGAGGAAGTTCTTTTTCTCAAACTATTATCAACTTTTCCAGTTGGAAAAGCAGCTCAACTCAACAATAAATGAGCGAAAAGCAGAAAATAAGAACGGCAGAAAAGTGCAAAACTAAGAGAGCAAAAAAACTAGAAAAATTCTTAAAGAAAAATTATTACGCATGATTTATTTATAAACTCATATTGTACTGTTAATACACTTATATTATTCTATATCAAGTGATATTGTTTAATTTTAAGATCTTCTCTATCTTTAGAAAAAAATTCGATTCTTTTTTGAAAAAAAAAAAAGAGAAAAAATTGTTTATAGAACTGGTAGTAATTGAAATCCTGTAAAAGCACTTTATATAACTCTTTATGTCTGATTTGAATAACGAAGTTATGTGACAATCTCATACAAGCAGCTCGTGTTAAACAGAAAACTAGGATATTTACAGCTCCTTATTCACATCCTATATAAGGTAGAAAAAAATTGAGAAATGTCAGAATCTCTAAAACACGATGCGAAAAAATAGTTATTATTGATTGAGCTATTCAAGTCAAGACAAACAGCAATACCCCGGCACGATCTCAACAATTGTACAAAAAGTCAGAACACGACTAGACCTGACAAGTAGCTAGAAATTGATTGTCATCACAGACCAAAAGTTTAGCAAATAAAAATAAAAACCTGACTTCAAAAAACATAAAAAAATTGAAGATTGGTAAAGAAATTTCAAGACCTAGTTGAAAATTTCTGCTGAACTAAAACATATATTCTTCAATTCTGGTAGTTTAAAACCTATAACTGTTGCACCTGTTAAGGGTGACAAAAAAGATTACAGTCTAACGTACAAGTTTACCAAGTTTATGGTCTAAACTAAAATGTTTTACTTACTTTCTGTTTCAGAAAATTAGCAAACAAATTAAGGCAGTAAGACATCATCTGTTACCGTTAGTGTGATGCTTGGTTAGTGGTCACAGAGTTATAGCAAAGTAATTTTATTCGTAATTAGTTTGCTACGAAAGACTTAAGGGTGATGACAAGTAGTGAAAAAGAATAACAAATTTACTACAAATTTAATTTTCAAAATCAGATATCTTTCATAAATTTTATTGTTCCAAAACAGACTTTAATAACTTACTTGCTATCATTTTTGCTTTTTTGTTCTTATTGGTCTTGTATTAAACAACATCAATTGCCATACAAATTAACTCTAAGAGAAAGAATAACCAGAAAAAATAACTTGTTAAATTTTAACTTCTAA